TTTGTCTCTTGTCAAAGGCTGCTGATATGAGAGACACTGACCTGTTCATGAAGAAATGTGGCCACGGCTGATGTCCTTCCAAGGTTTTCCAGGCAGCCGATGGAAAAAAGGAGAGGGAATTTCTCCTTTCACCCCTCCTCCTTCGTTCCTCAGCTAGAACAGAGCAGCTGAGAGGCTGTAAATTGAAATGTTTTTCCCCTCTAGGTCCCTGTGTTCACCACATTTTCTCCCTCCGTACAAAATCACGTCTCGTTTCTTCCTTCTCAGCTGTTTTCTGGTTTTCTTTCATAGCATTTTATTCAAAGACCAGACTTGAGGAGCTACAAGGATGCTACAAACCCAAGCTATGTGATCCAGCAATGTCCCTCCTCCTTTCCTGAACTGCTATTGGATGGCTGTGGTGCAGCTGTAGGCTGTGATTGGCTCGTCTGGCTGTCTGTCTAGTTTAGCAAGGATGACTACAGGATTTAATGGTTGGACACACCAGATGCTGGGAATGTTCCCAGGGAAGAGAGTTCAGGGATTTTAACCCCTTGCTGTCTCACATGTGCATTATGTGAACTGAGGTGAGATGTGTTATGAGTGATGGTTAGGGTCTCAAACGTTTATGGAAAAGCATTTTTGTAGTTAATTTTAGTTGTTTTATTCAATATTAATTCATTATTAATTAATGTGTCAGGAACATGTCAGGGTCACTTCTGTTTTCTTTCTAAAGATGTATGTTTAATTGTTTAGATGTATATATTATGTTAATATATAATTAACATAAGAATGGCACAAGAACCACCCAATTCGTTCTCTCTCTATACAAAAATGTGTGTGTGTGTGTGTGTGTGTGTATATATATATATATATATACATACAGGTGCATCTCAATAAATTAGAATGCTAATTTATTGAGATGCACCTGTATATATGTATATATAATAAAACATATTACATATCTAAACAATTCTAAACAATAATATAGTGTTAATATATATTTAACATAAAATATAGATATACACTGTATAATGCTGTCATGAAAATTTCACAATGCAAAATCTTAATGCTCCTGGCATCATTTTCATTATGAAAACTACAACAATTTTCAATTAAGTTAAAATTTATGACGTACATAATGATATACTGTATGTTTTTAATTAATTTATATAATTATAATATTATTGAAATAAACAAAATATCTAATGTCAGAAAATTGATCAGTGAAGGAAAAAATTATCCCATTTTATTAATAAGCCTAGTACTGATAATAACGGTATAAATATTGTAATATTTTAATACCTAAGTGTTTTAAAGAGAATTATTAAAGCGAATTAAATAATATTTTTGTAATAATTTGTAAAAGTATTTTTTTTTTACAAATTAGTAATTTGTTTACTTGTTCATTGTAGGCATACAAAATTAAATTAGGTTATACTATTATTTATTGAATATAATTTATTAGTGCTTCTGCTTGTTCTCAAGTCAAGTGCTATTTCGTTAATAAAATAAAAAAATAAAAAAAAACATGCAAAATATTACTTTGTTTGATGGCAAAGTTTGAGGGTGTTTCAGTGTAGCCTTTACCTCCTCATCAAACAAGGCTCTGCGTTCTGCATCCTGATTTTTTTAGTCTCTTTCATGGTACAGCGCCTTTAAAACCCTGCAGCCTTCACCTTTAAAGGTGCCTTTACCAGTCAAAACAATATTTTAATATCAGTATTAAACATTCATATTACTAAAGTGCCTTTTATCCAACATATGTGTTGATGCTAAGTGCTAGCCACTGTATGAACTGTATGAAATGAATTGTTGACTAAAATTAATCCAAAAGATGGATGGATTATGAATGATGTCATTCTAAAAGTGGGCCGAAGACTAAAGCACATCCGTTGCCTAATGTTTTGTAACAATTAAAATGCCACTGTCATGTGTTCATTGTAGTACACAATCTGCAGATGGCGTCGTCCATATGCTATTAAAAATATCTTTCTGGCCAACGCTGCCTTCTACCGGTGACAATGCATTAGTGCTGATCCACTCTAATCCTCTTATTTGTCTGTTTATGAAACACAAGCCAAACTACTCTCAAATTAACTGTCTAACATGCTAAGAGGAGGAGATACAGAGTAAATATAATCCTTAGTTATAAGATAATACATGCAAGCAACACTCAGTGTACTATATGCAATTTTTTTTACTTCATTTATCCATGAATGATTTCATATCCCTTCCATTTCTATAGAATCAGAATTAGAATCAGAATCAGAATGAGCTTTATTGCCAGGTATGTCTACACATACGAGGAATTTGTTTTCGTGACAGAAGCTTCCACAGTGTAACAGAATGACAGTGACAGAACAAAAAAACACAGATAATAAAAAAAATAATAATAAAAAAAATAGAACAAGTAAAATAAGGAATAAAAAATATACAAATCGACGATTGTATGTACAGGTATAGAACAATAGACAGTTGTATGTACAGGTATATTATGTGCAAATTGAAATGTAGACTGAGTATGTGTGTTAGATAAATAAGTGTATGAGTGAGTAAATAGTGTGTGTTCCACAGTTATTGTCAAGTGTTCATGAGATGGATGGCCAGTAAGGGTCCAGTAATGTCCTTCAGGTGGGCCAGCACCAGAAAATAGTAAAAATACTTTAGTTTTAAATTGTTTATTACACATTATATTATATACGTAGCAATTTGAGTGTAAAAGTTGGTATTTGAAAAACTGATGGATTTTAGACATCCATTATTTTTGTTGTTTATTTACAGAGGCCAACATAAGAAATTCATTAATTAAAAAAAACAAAAGAACAACTTGGTTTTAGTAATCATTTTAGTCAATTAGTATAATTTTAGATTATGTAATATACAGCACCAGTGATATTAAATAGTATAATATAAAATAAATATTGATGGTTTTTAATGAATATGAAAATTGCATAGTATCATGACCCAGACATGGTTTTGTGAGGTTTAGATTCAACCATATAGGTCATTATCAAAATCAGAAATTATATTTTACTTCCTAACAAATAGCCTAAGCATGTTTTCCCTCTTAATTCACATTAAAGTCTGAAATTAACTTTATTGTGTTAAATGTTCAGTCAGATTATATTAACAGCATGAAGGTCAAAACAATATTTTTCACCAAACAGGATGTTATTTGACTAATTCCAGCTGTCTAATGTAAAATATATGTCAAATAACCCTTTAAGTACATTAAAGTCAACATGCAATGGCATTAGCAATCATTTTACTTTCATATTGTGACATATTTCTGAATAAAACAGGATATTTGGTGCAAAAAAAACCCTGATTTTATCCATTGGAAATGGACTGGACATTTAATCTTCTCTTTATGACAGGTGGTTTGAGAGCAAAGGATGAAAAAAAAGAGTCGTGATGTCAGCTGAAAAGAGAAGCAGAACATTTGTTTCATGTTATATATATTCATCACACCGTGTCACTGTGAAACACTAATGACTCGGGGCCCAAAATCGAGTTAACTAAAAAGAAGTTCTGGATAATTTTACCAAAGCTCCTCTCATTGTCACCATGTAATTGATGAAAATACTTCTCAAAAAGCATCACATAATTGCTTGACGTTCCTGTAATTCCTCATTTCAACACTAAAAGAACTGTTAAAGGGAAATTAATTTGTGTTCTGAAGATGAACGAATGTCTTACGGGTTTGGAACGACATGAGGCTGAATAATTAATGACATAATTTTCATTTTTGGGTGAACTGTCCCTTTAAATTGCCATGGTATTATTGGTTTGTTTTTGTACATGGTACATAATACCAGGGTATTCTTTGAAGTACCTTGAAATACAATGCAAATACATTGGTCAGTGATGGTCAACAAACTAACAAACGAATACCAACGCACTGCATGACTCATGAGACATGGTACCATTGTAAAACCATGTTTAACAAGTACTAAAAGTACTACAATGTACAATGGCACTACTACCCATTAGAAGCATCACTTTCAACAGCTTTCAAACTAAATTAAAGCTTTTCCTCCACTATTAGAAGTTTAGTTCATTTTGTCCTCTCTCTTGTTGTTGTTATATAAAAAGAATGGGGCTAGTTGTCACATGTCAAATGCTGCTCTCAAACACCTAGTTCAAAAAAGAGACCCCCCACATGATTGTAAAGCTCTTTGGGTGTACAACAATACACAGTAAAGCGCTATATAAATGCATCATTCATTCATTCATTCATTCAAAACAAAAATAAAAGTTTTAATTTAGTTTGAAGGCTGCTGAAATTATGATTCTCAATGCAATAAAGTGATGCTTCTAATGGGAGGTATAGTGCCATTGTACATTGTAGTATTTTAGTACTTGTTATTGTTAAACATGGTATTGGTACCATGTCTCATAAGTAATGCAATGCGTCGGTATTCGTTTGTTAGTTTGCCTACTATATAATCAAGGTAGATTTAAATGTTTTTTTTAATGGCAGTCTCCCGTTGGGGCATGTTGTCACAAAAGGCCCACATTTGTTAAATATCTTTTTTTTTTTATGACAACGGTGGAAATGTTCAATTGCCTTTTGTAGTCTTTAAGATGTGTGCCTAAAAACTGACTTCCTAAGATAAACAGAAAAATATTGTCTGGAGTAAAATATATTGTCTATTGTTTTCACATATTTATTTTTAATCACTTTTTTATTTTGTTATCTGTGTCTTGTCACTTGTCATTCTGTCTGTGCACTGGAAGCTTATTCTGTCACCAAGACAAATTCCTTGTGTGTGTAAGCACACTTGGCAATAAAGCTCTTTCTGATTATGATCTGATTCTGAAAAAGTGTGACAACTAGCCCCAGTCTTAAAGTCTGTGCTCGGGTGTATTTTATACGTTTGTTATAATGGTATATCTGTTTTATAATGACAACATTTCGATGCAAATAGCAGTAGAAAGACGTGCAGCTGTGTGTACAAATGTTGCTAAATTGGCTTGGAAATGTTTCTGTCAATTCCATTCCTGCGTAAGAGCGCGGCTCTTCTCGCTCGCTGCGGCGTGGGGTTTCCCAGAGCAGACTGCAGGGTTACCGCGCCCATCTCCGTCTGATGGCCGGATGAGAGGTGAACTGAACTGGAGAGAAGTGCTCCTTCAAGGAAGGCAACGGGAAGTGGCCACCGACGGATTTATTCGTTGACCAAAGTCTGCAATCGGACATTTATGAGTGCAGTTTTTCATCGCAGTTGAGATCCCCCCTCAAACAGGCTCATTTCCTGCCCGCTGGAGCGAGTTTTGTCGCTGTGGCAGTGGACTCGGTACTTCTCCCGCTGCTAGTTAGCGAGCTAGCTCGTCTTGTTCGTTGATGCGTGGATTTGACAGCCACACCGTCGTTTTTTTCGGTCAATGCCATATAAACAACGGCCATTTACGACTGAGAACAGGTATGGAACACTAAATGCTTATTTCAAGTGTGTGGAACTGGTTGTCTCGTTTAAAACGGATAAATTTGTTGGATAAAATGCTGGTCACCATAGAGAATGAAGGGGGTGGGGTGAGGCGCAGATAGCGGCTAGCCGACCGATTTACATACACAATGCCAGGCAAATTGACCAAAAACAGTCAATTCGAACAGTTATTTGCACTTATTGCGATTTCGTTGGTGCATTTAATCGCTCGTTTTGTTAATATAGCGCGAATGGTGTCGGCCGACTTCACTGGAGGCCGTTTTGCGCGAGTCAGCTTGCTAACGTTAGCGCCTAAAGACGGCGTTAACGTTAAGTTACCTCAGAAATCAAACCGATTGAGGATTGTGAGAAACCGGCTGTGTGGTGGTTAGGGGTGTTTTAGAAGCACTAAAGGTCGATTTTGGGCAAGGGTGGTAGGGGTTTTGGTTGAGAGGCTGGTCTGTAAGCTAACTGGCTAATTACTGGAGCTTCTGCTGGCAAAATATTCGGCTTTTCAACCCTGCTAGGCCTTCCTCTGTGTTAAAGAATCGAGGATTTTTTTGCTCGCCAAATGCTGGTTAAGACATTGCCTTCTACTTGATGTGAATTGCAGTCGGTAAATAAAGATTAGTCATTTATTTGTTCACCCGATTGTGTATCACAATCGGGACCATCTGGCTGAATATTCCAAGCTATTCTTTCGTGTTTTATTTATATATTTACGTGCAAATGGATTTATTACACGAGTCCAATTGACCTGTATCCCAGTTTGCATATAAGCGACTTAGCGTGTAAGTGTTTGTCTTTATTGCATTAAGCGTGCACTGCTGCTTTTAACTAGTCTTTAAAACAACCTCATTGGATTTCCTTAACTATGTAACGTACAAGTCTCTATTTAAAAGGCCCGGCTGGTCAGGTACATAGGTGCACTGCCTCCCTCCCCGACATCTCAGTGATGCTCCACTACGATCCTCCCTAACTGCTTTTGTCGATGATAAAGCCATGTTAAATGCGTTTTCTCCTGCGAACCGGCCAACATTTATCACAGTAATGCCGCAAAAAGCGCTGCAGCTCTTCAGATACGCGAAATGAATGGAGCCTGATGGCCTTTATTATCGCTGCTGGAATATTTTAAGAACGGGCGAGCAGCTCCGTATTGAGGTCACTACTAAGGGATTGGTCGGGGGAATATAGGCTATGGGATAAATATGTTGCGCCCCCTCCTTTTTTCCCCTGCCGATCGAGTTTGCCTTTCTCTTTGCTGGCATTTAGATAAAGGAACACCGATCGTGAATAAATAAACGCAATCAATGTATTCTTCAATGTGGGGCCCAAGAACAAGATGGCGTCCGTAGCCTCTCTCCGGCTTCCCTCTCCGCACTCATATCAGCTTGCCGTTGCTTTAACCCACTGAAACGGCGAGGAAATGCACCGTTCCGCTGTAAGCACGGCGATTTGTTTTAAAAACGAGCTTTGGTAAACATTTCGATGCATTTTGGAATGAAACGCTCTTTACGTGTCTAGTGCACTAAAGCTACACGTACATCATTTTACGCCAAACGAGTTGTGAAATAATCGCGTATTTAATAGTATTTCGAGTGCGTCGTGACGTAATCGTTAACACATCAAACGCATTTTTGATTTCAGCTTGTGTTATTCGGTGCTCTGCACTTCTGTTGGTGTTTTATCTGTAGAGATTTGTGTATTAACGTGCACATAACGCTCACAATGGCATGCTGTGTTTAGGTAATGCGAATGTATATGGTTTATCAATTTAAAACGAACGCAAAATGGGTGCTGCACTGCAAATATTGATTTTTATAGTTGTGAAAGCCAGGCAAACATCCTGCTTTTTGTCCATCAGAGTTGGTTCCCTTGAGTTTATTTGTTATATTCATTATATTCAATGTTGATTTTTAATTTAACATTATATCTACTAACACATTATTTGTAATCCATATGCATTGACATTTTGGAAATCCTTCTTGAATGGCTTACTTATGATATGCATTGTTTGCTTGACAATTTGGTATTGAATACACACACATTGATTTATTTTTGTAATTGTGGGTAACTAAAAGCATCAGTTTGATTCCCATTGGACGCCTTAGAAGCTGATAAGTGGCGGGCTGTGATGGCAAAATTGATTTCTGTTCAGATAATGGAGTTTCTGAATATCCTTTTTTTTATTCATGTTGACACCCATTTGTCATTCAGATGTTGAGATTGTTCATGTAAAACCACTGTATCTTTCTCCTAAATTTGTGAAGTTTTCCAGAAAGGCGATTCCTGTGACGTGGATCCGCAGCAACTTGTCTTTTCCGCATAAAATATGTGGAAGTCAATAATAAGACAATTAGCAAAAGTTCAGTATTTTGTTGAATGCATAGTGCAAGGACTTAAAACAGTCCCACAAATTCTTAGACTGCAAGCCCAGCTCCGGACAGCTGTTTTTCCATGAGTGACGCTGAGAGGGATTACAGATTTACTGTACGTGGATTTTAGCTTTTAGGATTACAGGCTTGGATAGTGATAGTGCTGGTTACTGTCTTTCCTGTGATCCAGCTTTAGCGATATGCATTTTATTTTTCTTCTGTTAATGCCTAATAAGCCGCATCATCCTCCAGCAGTTGGAGTAATTTATGTTGATGGAATAAAGTTCTGTTTGGAAATCGGCGGCGGCGTGCGTTATCAAGTTAAACATTTTTAGTGTGTTTGGATCATTTACAAAGGGTTTTGTGAAATAAATGTTTTCTAAAAGGATCTAAGAAAGATTTGCCCTAAAGTGACCTGTGTATACGCAGTCTGTGGAATCTTTAGGCCATTTCTTACAGCTCTCTTTTTGTCCTGCAGTCAGCTGACTCTGATCAAGTGTTTGTTGAGAGGGTGAGATTGAGCTCTGCTAGCACATATGTTGATGCCTTACTGCATTCAACTTTTCGACTTTGCTTTGTGCTATCTTATACTCTGGTCTTTGGCACATAATATTCAGTATTTGTGCATAATGAAGTTTCATTTCGGCAGACAATAAAAGGTGAACCCCGCTCATGATGTGGCTTTGTAACACTGAACTACATCATGTTTGTGTTTGTGATGACAATATTAGTTTCGGCCAATATTTGTGCTGTATCTTCCTTTTTAAATGATCAGCATTGTCCTGATTAATCTGGCACTGTAAGCCTGTAATATCCAGGCTTATTATTTCCATTTCTTGTTTTCAATGGAATAATAGTTAATAAATGGTCATCAGCTGTTTATTTTGTTTTACTTGTTAAAAGTGATCTGCATTAGCCTGATTAGGTCAATATTGAAAGCTGTTAATATCTGAGTTCATTTTAAATATCTGAGTTTATTTTTTGCTTTTTGTTCTATGCTGTTTTCTAAGAAAATAATGCTTTTTCTGCTTTTGTTATAATATCAGGGCCTTTTTTCAGTTTAAGCTTTTCTATGCTGTGATATCAAAGCATAGATAGTTACATTTATTGGCTTGATATTTGGACATAGTTTGGATTGATATTAAATGCCAGTAATATTAGTTTTTTTCCCCAATTTAAGCAGTGGACTCTTTATATGCATAAATAAAGAAATATTTATATTTAATATAGACCATTGTTCAGGTATTGACCAAATAAAAATAGTAATCGCTATCCATATCCACCAAATTTTTCATACTGGCACCTCTCTAGTAGTATTCATGTTGGGTTGAGTAGCTGTGCTGTACTGAAGGTGAGATGAGGGACTTACCTTTTGTAACCATGTCATTTTGATCAGCAAGATTAGAGGACTTAGGCGTATTGTCTTGATGCAGGCCCATTTAAGAGGTCAGCCAATCAGGAAGAAGCAAGTGTATTGGAAAGGATAAGACGTTCACCAAGAGAAACATTTTCTGGCTGTCAAACACAAGGAGCCTTGTGCAAGCCGCGTAAGGTAAGAAATTCAGAGTATAACCTGAAACTTTAAGGAACTTTTAAAGGTCTCGGCCACATGACAGTGATTCTGGTGTCTCAGGAATTTCTCATCAAGTAGCAGGAAGTTACTTGCAAGTGCTTGTCGTCATCAACATACTTTTAAGTATTTTGTTTCTGTAAGCTAAGACAATATCCTTAGTCTTGTTGAATTTTAAGTATGTTTTCTTATCGGTTGCCTGCCTTTATCAGTTTTTGAGCTATGTTTGCTATGCGTGTAACTTCCCAAATGTTTTTTAACTGTTTATATGGGATGCTTAATTCTTTCATTGGGTGACATTCAAGAAAACTGTCGAGAAATGTTGGAGAGATTTTTCTTCTGGTAGCATATACGCCTTGCTCGTTCACGCAGCCGACTTTCACTTTTCAAATATGGAACCATTGATTTCACAATTAGGACATGGCATAATGCACCAGAGGGCAATGGCAATTACAGGAAATGGATCCAACCAAATTTTTAGTGCTCCAGTTAGATTGCCCGACCACAGACTTCTGGGAGTAACAAGCGTATGTGTGGCTTCTCTGTTATGTAGTGCTAATATCACTCAAAAGTATTGATCATTGCCTGACGGCCCTCAGCTGACCCATGCAGTGTAATTGTCATCATTTCTTCATCCTTTCTCCCATCAGCACTTCCCTGGTCTTGATGTTCTTCTAGTCAGTCTTTGCTCAAGCTTGAACCTGCATTTATCTTGCTCAAATCGGGACGACTAAGACCAGGCTAATGGGAAAGATGACAGCTGCTTGAGAATCGAGATATTGTGCAGCTGCAAATTGGTCTATATTTAAATTAAAAGTCATTTTTCATGACTCTTTTCTAAAGTAGGTCATACGATGTTGGCCTAGAATGGTCAATTCACTCATTTGTAGAACATTAAACAGTATTGGATGTGCAAAATGGCATTTAAAAAAAAAAAATGTTTTGAGTTGTTCAGTTGCCTGCTAAAGGGCCAAAGTTAATGTTTATGCATTTAAAAAGCTTTTTTTTTTGTATGCACCAGCACCTTAAAGTAGTAATATGCTATCAGAAATAGTATGTACTTAAATGAATCAACCATAAATGCAACTTGGCCTTGGTTGCTCATCCAAATCTTCCTCAGTATATCGGTGGAGTAACAGCATATTGCAGTGCACATGACCGCGAATGTGCCACAGTTGCATTAACTTGAAACCTTTGTCCGCCATTGCATCTCCCGCAGCTTTAAGATCCTTTCCTTGCTCTTCACGTACCTCTAAAATTAATCCCATCATTAGCTGCCTTTCTCCAGCGTTAGATACATACACTCCGTTGGCCCATTAAAACAGCTGCCTTCATCAGCCATTTGTCTGAGCGCATGAAGGATTTGGGTCAGCAGGATAGGTGCTGCTCTTCCGATCAGTGTCCCCGGTGTGTCTTAACTGGATTTGCCTGAAGGAACTGAATCAAGCGCGTCCCAGGATTATGTCAATGACACTGTGGAGAGAGAGGTATGAAAACACGGCTGTGGGCTGGGAACGCTAATAGGATGAGAGCTGGCCTAGAAGGACTCGCTGTTGTCAGTCGAGTGCGTTTGCTCTAAATCGAGATTAAAACGGACAGGCTTTAAGGGTTTCAGAGTGCATCGGGTTATGTTTATGAAGGAATCGCTGTTTGGAATCAGCATTTCATCCTGGAAACCAGACAAAGAATAGTTGCCCAGTATGGACATTGCAGCATATTAACCTTTAATGCTAGCTATTATAGTTGATTGCCATTAGTCTTTTGGATTAAATTAATTAAAATGACCCCATTTATTCTCCTAATTCACATTCCTGATGCCCATGATGTTTGTTTGCATGATCGTTCATTTAAATAAATGACTTGCTCCGCCTTTGAAACGACTTTCCTTTTCAGCTGATGTCATCAAGCTCTTAATTTTTTTCAGTCCCTCCCTCCAACCACATGACCCCATTTTTGGATGTAGCGCCCAGTTTTCATCATCCAATCAATTCCCAATGGATAAAATCGAGTTCTGCCCTACATTCTCATTGAATATCCTGTTTCACTTGTAATTTGGCACATTATGGAAATAAAATGCCATTTTATGTTGTCTTTAAAAAAAAATTTCATGCTAGAGTTTAGGATAAGGAATTTTTTTCCTTTGCCGTTTATTGACATCATAAAAGGACAGAACGCAGCTCGTTTCTTGCTGCTGTTCTAATTGTACTTCTGCATTTTTCATTAAGGAGCAACAACTCATTTCACCACAAGAGGAAATGGTTCTTTGGTTGCTTTCAGTAGCTAATGCGGTGGGGTGGGATCTTGAATTTACACCCTTGTGTATTGATAAACAATCTACTAGCGATCCATTATCCAATGTTACATGACATGGTAAATGCAGACTGAGTGTTCTTCTTGTAGATGCAGCTAGTGTGCGATATTAGTGTGAACAGTATGGGTGTTTCCATATCTGATGTTGAGACCAGTTTAATTGTTTTAAAACAGGAAATTCAGACTAAAGGCCAGATATCCCTCCTGTTAATATCTTTTGAAGGGATAACCTTCAAATTGGAATTGGGTCCTTAATGTTTTCTCTCTCTTTTTCTCTGCTGTAGATCAGAACGTGTCCCGGCAGTAGGAGTGAGGCAGAGCTTTAGAAGAGGAAAATGAGTGAACTGGACCAGTTACGCCAGGAGGCCGAGCAGCTGAAGAACCAGATCAGAGTGAGGACCTCTCTGATCTCATACACAACTGCATTCATCAATCCCTAATACATACAACATGTATTGAAAATGTATATGGTATAATGCAATTGAAACTTAACGTTGCTAAAATCGAATGAATGGTAATTTGACATAATATATACTAAATATTGTACTCCAGAATTGCAAAATATGGACTAATGGATTGGCCTGGTTAATATTAATCTTATTACTTTAAAGGGGTCCTATTATGCTCTTTTACAAAGTCTTGATTTTGTTTTGGGGGTGTACTAGAACAGGCTCTCATACTAGGTTGT